TTTTCCCATGATGTCAAGCAAAGAGGCACTGAGTTTGAAGGTAGGCCTTTAAATACATCCACAGGTACACCTCCAATTGACTCAAATGATGTAAATTAGCCTCTCAGAAGCTTCTAAAGCCATGACATCATTTTCTGGAATTTTCCAAGCTGTTTAAAGGCACAGTCAACTCAGTGTATGTCAACTTCTGACCCACTGGAATTTTGATACAGTGAATTATAAGTCAAATAATTTGTCTGTAAACAATTGTTGGAAAAATTACTTGTGTTATGCACAAAGTAGATGTCCTAAATGACTTTCCACAACTATAGTTTGTTAACAAGAAATGTGTGGAGTGGTTGAAAAACAAGTTTTAATGAAACATACCTAAGTGTATGTAAACTTCCGACTTCAACTGTAGATATATCTTTTTATTATTATTGTTTCATTCACTTTACCCCCCTGCTGGTCCCCCTATGGACATTCTACCCATTTTGTTTTCATTTAACTATTCGCTCAATCCAGTACCTGGGATGGCTGCCGTTTTACGGGCTCCTAACCAACTGTGCTATTTTGTTAGTTTTTTCGCATTGTTTGTAATTTACTTTGTACATAAAGTTGCAGCTACATAAAGTTGCCGTCTCTTATGATAGAAAATATTTTCTGGACATCAGAACAGCTATTACCTCGAACTGGATGGAGATTTTTTCTTTAATGAGTCCGACACGAAGGATATGCTGCTTTCCGGAGACCAGGCCCAAATCCCTGTCAGTCACATGAAGAAAAGGCGGAGATACAGAGGGAGAAGGTCGGGGTGCCTTGTGAGGATTCGGAGGCGAGTGAGTAAATCGCCACTACCATCGGTTCTATTGGTCAACTTGCAATCACTGGAAAACAAACTCGATGATCTACTGTCGAGATTATCCTACAAACGGGACATTAAAAACTGTAATATCTTATGTTTCAATGAGTCTTGGCTGAATGACGAAACAGATAATATAGAGCTGGCTGGGTTTTCCATGCATCGGCAGGACAGAGCAGCTACGTCTGGTAAGACGAGGGGCAGGGGTGTGTGTCTATTTGTCAATAACTGCTGGTGCACGATGTCTAATGTTAAAGAAGTCTTAAGATATTGCTCTCCTGAGGTAGAGTACCTCATGATAAGCTGTAGACCACACTATCTACCTTGAGAGTTCTCATCTATATTATTCGTAGCCATCTATTTACCACCAAAAACCGATGCTGGCACTAAGACTGCACACAACGAGCTGTATAAGGCCATACGCAAAAAAGAAAATGCTCATCCAGAAGCGGCACTCCTAGTGACTTTAATGCAGGTAAACTTACATCTGATTTACCTCATTTCTACCAGCATGTTGAATGTGCAACCAGAGGAACAAAAACTCTCCCTCGCCCTCCATTTGGCAAATCTGACCATCATTCTATACTCCTGATTCCTACTTACAAGCAAAAACTGAAGCAAAAAGTACCAGTGACTCGCTCAAGTGGTCAGATTACGCGGATGCTACGCTACTGGACTGTTTTGCTTGCACAGACTGGAATATGTTCCGTGATTCATCCAACGGCATTGAGGAGTATATCACCTCACTCACCGGCTTCATCAATAAGTGCATCGACAACGTCGTCCCCACTGTGACCGTATGTACATATCCCAACCAGAAGCCATGGATTACAGGCAGCATCCGCACCGAGCTAAAAGCTAGAGCTGCCGCTTTCAAGGAGCAGGACACTAATCCGGACGCTTAGAAGAAATCCCGCTATGCCCTCAAATGAACCATCAAACAGTCAATACAGGACTAAGATTGAATCCTACTACACCGGCTCTGATACTTTTCGGATGTGGCTGGGCTTGCAAACTATTACAGACTACAAAGGGAAACCCAGCCGCAAGCTGCCCAGTGACGGGAGCCTACCAGTCAAGATAAATGCCTTTTATGCTCGCTTCGAGGCAAGCAACACTAAAGTATGCATAAGAGCACCAGCTGTTCCAGATGATTGTGTGATCACGCTCTCCGTAGCCGATGTGAGCAAGATCTTTAAACAGGTCAACATTCACAAGGCCGCGGGGCTAGATGGATTACCAGGGCGTGTACTCAGAGCATGCGCAGACCAACTGGCAAGTGACTTCACTGACATTTTCACCCTCTCCATGACTGAGTCTGTAATACCTATATGTTTCAAACAGACCACCAGAGTCCCTGTGCCCAAGAATGTGAAGGTAACCTGCCTGAATGACTACCGCCCCGGAGCACTCATGTCGGTTGCCATGAAGTGCTTTGAAAGGCTGTTCATGGCTCACATCAACACCATCATCCCGGAAACCCTAGACCCACTCCAATTTGCATACCGCCGCAACAGATCCGCAGATGACGCAATCTCAATCTCACTCCACACTGCCCTTTCTCACCTGGACAAAAGGAACACCTATGTGAGAATGCTGTTCATTGACTACAGTTAAGAGTTCTACACTATAGTGCCCAAAAAGCTCATAACTAAGCTAAGGACCCTTGGACTAAACACCTCCCTCTGCAACTGGATCCTGGACTTCCTGACGGGCCGCCCCCAGGTGGTAAGGGTAGGCAACAACACATCTGCCACGCTGATCCTCAACACAGGGGCCCCTCAGGGGTGAGTGCTTAGTCCCCTCCTGTCCTCCCTGTTCACCCACGACTGCATGGCCAAGCACGACTCCAACACCATCATTAAGTTTGCTGACGACAAAGCAGTGGTACGCCTGATCACCGACAACGATTAGACAGCTTATAGGGAGGAGGTCAGAGACCTGGCAGTGTGGTGCCAGGACAACAGCCTCTCCCTCGATGTGAGCAAGACAAAGGAGATGATTGTGGACTACAGGAAAAGGAGGGCCGAACAGGCCCCCATTAACATCGACGGGGCTGTAGTGGAGCGGGTTTAGTTTCAAGTTCCTTGGTGTCCAGATCACCAACAAACTATCATGGTCCAAACACACCAAGACAGTCGTGAAGAGGGCCCCACAACACCTTTTCCCCCTCCGGAGACTGAAAAGATTTGGCATAGGTCCCCAGATCTTCAAAAAGTTATACAGCTGCACCATCGAGAGCATCCTTACCGGTTGCGTCACCGCCTGGTATGGCAACTGCTCAGCATCCGACCCTAAGGTGCTACATAGGGTAGTGCGTACGTCCCAATACATCACTGGGGCCAAGCTCCTGCCATCCAGGACCTATATACCAGGAGGTGTCAGAGGAAGGCCAAAAAAATTGTCAAAGTCTCCAGTCACCCAAGTCATAGACTGTCCTCTCTGCTACCACACGGCAAGTGGTACCGGAGTGCCATGTCTAGGTCCAAAATGCTCTTTAACCGCTTCAACCCCCAATTATAAGACTGCTGAACAATTAATCAAATGGCCACCCATACTATTGACATTGACCCACCCCCCCTCCCCCCCGCTGCTACTCGCTGTTTATTATCTATACATAGTCACTTTACCCTTACCTACTTGAACAAATTACCTCGACTAACCTGTAACCCCGCACATTGACTCGGTACCGGTACCCCCTGTACATAGCCTCGATATTGTTATGTCATTTTATTGTGTTACTTTTTATTAAATGTTTTACTTTAGTTATATATTTTCTTAACTCTATTTCTTGAACTGCATTGTTGGTTAAGGGCTTGTAAGTATGCAATTCACTGTTGTATTCGGCGCATGTGACAAATACAATTTGATTTGATTTGATACTTTTTTTTAAAGGGGCCTTCTTGAATGTGGGCATATTCCTGCCAAATCGTTCCTTCACTCTTTCTTTCTTTCTTAATTTTTCCCTCTCTCCTAAAGCACTATTTCTTTCTTCCCTCTGTACAGAGCTGCCATATGGCTGGGAGAAGATCGATGACCCTATCTATGGCCGTTACTACGTGGAGTAAGTCCTCCCCGCAAATAAAGAATATTCCCAGGACATTAGCTAACATTCCTATTAACTTCTAATCAGGTTTTGGTCTAACGTTAAGATAATACAGTAACGTTCCTCCAACATTCAAAGAATGTTTCTGATAACAAAATGCTGTTTCTAAGAACATTCCCAGGACTTTAGCTACCATTCCCATTAAGTTCTAATTAGGTTGTGGTCTAACGTTAGCATTATAATATTCAACAAACATTTAAAGAACATTCAACATTCAACAATGCTTTTCTAAGAAAATGTATTTCTGTCTTCATTAGTTACACTGTAAAGGGGTTACTAGTGGCAAGTAAGTAAATGGGTTACACTGTAAAGGGGTTACTAGTGGCAAGTAAGTTATTGTAATATTCACAGTTACTTATTTGCCACTAGCTGCTTGTAAGTTACTGTAGTATCAGAACAATGGACTGTACTATTGTATTGTAAAAAATGCAATGCTACTGTAATGGTAAATTAATACATTGAGGGGAGACTGTGTTTGTATTTTACAGTAATTCAATGGGATTGTTGCCAGCTGGTTGGCTGCTAGGTAATGTGTTTACATGCCGTACCATTCAAAATAGAGATTTTTTTTCACTGCCCACAACATTTTCCCACAATGCAGCATCATTTACAGTATGCTGCAGTATAATGCGTTCACAGTATTTTACTGTTTATAATAGACATATTTACTGTAGAAATTACAGTTTTCCATTAGAGTGTACTACAATCGCTACTGTTGGGTAGCCACAGACTTAGAACAAAATCCTAACATGACACTTTCACCTCAATCATGCATTGATTTCAATTTTAGCTCTGTTCAACGATCTCAAATTAGATGTGTGTTCTCACTCGAGAACCAACGGTTATGGCCGTGTTCCAGACTGACTACATTGCAGATGCCTGCCAAGTCTCACAATGCCTGGCTAGGTATTAAACACATCAGCTAACCACATCAATATGATATAGCAATCTGATGCCAATGCAACGTCTGCAATTTAATTAGCCTGGAATGTGACCATCGTCTTAGTCAATGTGTATCTGTCTGCCGTGAAGAAGAGAACCCAAAACCCACTGATGCTGCTGGATATCACTGTCATAGTCCTGTTCCCTGCAGCCACATCAACAGAAGGACCCAGTTTGAGAACCCCGTTCTGGAGGCCAAGAGACGACAGGAGCAGCAGCAGCAGATGCAGAGCCAGGGACTGTCAGCTCTGCCCTTACCTACTATGTACAGAGGTACAGCCACACCCCTATACTTCCATTAGTTACTTGATGTGGAATAGAGTTCCATGTAGCCATGGGCTCTATGTAGTACTGTGCGCTGTTTTGGACTCTGTTCTGGACTCGGGGACTGTGAAGAGACCTCTGGTGGCATGTCTTGTGGTGTGTGTATGGGTGTCTGAGCTGTGTGCTAGTCGTTTAAACAGGTAGTGTTGAAGGTCAATCTCTCCTCTACTTTGAGCCAGGAGAGATTGACATGCATTTTATTAATGTTAGTTCTCCGTGTACACTTAAGGAGACAGCCGTGCTGCCCTGTTCTGGGCCAATTGTAATTTTCCTAAGTCCCTCTTTGTGGCACCTGACCACTATAGCCAGGGACTGTCAGCTCTGCCCTTACCCGCTATTTAGAGGAAAATATATACACACAGTGTCAGCCCAGACCATTATATACTTCCCCTTCTTAACTCTCCTTACACTGAGTGTAAAAAACATTAAGAACACTTGCTCTTTCCAGGTGAAAGCTATGATCCCTTATTGATGTCACTCGTTAAATCCACTTCAATCAGTGTAGATGGAGGGGAGGAGACAGGTTAAATAAGGATTTTTAAGCCTTGAGACAATTAAGACATGGATGGTGTATGTGTGCCATTCAGAGGGTGAATGGGTAAGACAAAATATTGAAGTGCCTTTGAACAGGGTATGGTAGTAGGTTCCAGGCGCACTGGTTTGTGTCAAGAGCTGCAATGCTGCTGGGTTTTTCACGCTCAACAGTTTCCCATATCAAGAAATGTCCACCACCCAAAGGACATCCAGCCAACTTGGCACAACTGTGGGAAGCATTGGAGTCAACATAGACCAGCATCCCTGTGGAACGCTTTTGACACCTTGTAGAGTCCATGTCCCGACGAATTGAGGCTGTTCTGAGGGCAAAAGGGGCGGGTGCAACTCAATATAAGGAAGATGTTTTTATTTTTTGTACCTTCAGTGTATAATCGACAGAGGCACAACATGGTCCTCAGTTGGTAAGAGCATCATGCTAACAACGCTAAGGATGTGGGTTCAATTCCCATAGGGATCACATACAAATACTATAAAATATGTACACTCACAGGGATGTAAGTCTCTTTGGATAAAATCGTCTGCTAAATGGCATATCATATTATAAACAGACACTCCACTTATAGTGAACGCTGTTAATGTGATCAACCGCTTATAGTGGTAAAGTTGTCCTGCACGGATGTAATCACTATAAGAGTGATTATTATTTTGCCTGAGTTTGGCTGAGTGGGTAGTCCACATGTCATCTCTAGTCCACATGTAATCCCCGCTCCAGTCCAGGCTGACCTTTTCTGATCTGTCTCTCCTCCCTCATTTTTTCTCCCTTTATATCCTACTGACTTAACAAGTAAATAAATAAATACAATATTTTTAAAAGAGTGATTATTCTAGTGTATTTAACTGGCCTATTTTAATCTCACCCTCCCATTCTCCAGAGAAGCCCTCGTTCACGCGGGACCCCACCCAGCTGAAGGGCTCCTTCTTGTCAACGGCTCTCCAGAAGAGCAACATGGGCTTTGGCTTCACCATCATCGGAGGGGATGAGCCAGATGAGTTCCTGCAGGTCAAGAGTGTCATACCTGAGGGCCCAGCCGCACAGGATGGGAAGATGGACACAGGTACTGTACAGGAACTAACCAACCACACACACGCACACACACACACATACACACACTTCCCCAGGATGCATTGTAAAAAAAATACATCAACTGTCAATCTACTGTCCCCCATAGTACAAAATTTGACCTATTCTATTCTGTGCGAGAAATAAATATTCCAAACATAGTCTGGGACAGTTGTGGGATGCGATAGATCCCAAATTAATACAACCACTAGCATGAAAAAAACATTTTTACCCAATGAGGCTGACGCAACAGATCAGAACGTTTAGCTTAAAATGTGATAAACTATTAGGCTATTTCTTCACATTATAAGTGCAGCAATGCGCACACGGCAGTAGGCTATAAGCGCGAATGTTCCATTAGCGGGAAAACACCATTATCAAAAATGACCGCAAATGATAATATGCATGTAATGCTTTTTTTTATATAGGTGCATTGTTATGGTGAAAATTATCTTCCCCAAACTTGAAACTCACTCATTGCTTATGTATGCCAGTTAGGCTCTACACCCCTTGTAAATCTGATTAAATGTGCTTAATTTTAAGAAGTTATTTGGCCACTTTAGTTATGATACAAACCTTATCAAAACATATAGGCCCGTGGGCTAGGCTACATGAGGTGTGCGACTATGATTAGAAAAAGTCGCAAAAAAAAGGCATTGTTTCTTGCCTGATGCAGGGCATCATTCACAAGTGATAATATATAATTCACAAGTGATAGGCTAATATTGTCACCCATCAGACTATTCCTGATTTAATCTTGTCTTAACATATAGTAAATAATATATGTGTGAAATTTGTTTTGATTTAGAATGGACCATTATCATGCACCTGTCTCAAAACAGGGGCAGAGGGAAAAAATAATGTAATCTATGCACTTAAATAGCGAAGGGAGGGCGCTTTTCTGTGGTTGATTTTCATGCCAGCCAGGTATGCTATACTCCTGTTGTAAATATAAGCAATGTGCTTAATATTAGGAAAGTTGAGAAATAAATATAGTAGGCCTAGCCTATAGAAAGCTGATGGGATTCTCCTATTTTTAATAGAGTCCATCACTCTGTTTTCTCTCGCAATTGCATAGCCTATAGAAATGTTGCGCAACATGAGCTCATGGGCTCTCATGAAGTGTTTGATTAGATTTTCGACATTTGCATTGATGTCAGACTGAGTACAAGGCAGTTAGCAAGTTTGGTAGGCTACTAATGACCATCAGCAGCATCAGAGCTTGGAGAAGCCTAATTACCGTGACTAAATAGTCACGTGGAATTTGACTGCCTTCATGACTCGTGACCGCCAGTGTGGCGGTAATACGGTCACCGCAACAGCCCTACCTAGGACTCATCCATCAACAGTGCCTTCAGAAAGTATTCACACCCCTTTACTTTTTTCACATTTTGTTGTGGTACAGCCTGAATTCAAAATGTATTAAATTGAGATTTTGTGTCACTGATCTGTTTACACACAATACCCCATAATGTCAAAGTGGAATTTTGTTTGTAGAACATTTTAGAAGTAAGCATTTCGTTGGACGATGCATACCATGCGTATCCCGGGCATATGACTAATAAAACTTGGTTATCTGGCCTATTTGAGCTGTGGCATTGCTGTGAGGGAGGTGTGCATTTGTGTGTGTGGTTGGGTGGTTGTGTGTGTGGGTGCTCTCTGCTACCGCGGATATTTGAAAGATTCATTGGATTTACTAATACTTTCATCATGGACTAGATGCAAAGTGTAGCTACAGCTTTCAATACCAGTGTTGCCCTGAATACAGCTGCTGGTATCGACACAGCTCTGTGTTCTGTGGCTAAAGCCGTCTGGACTGGTTGAAGCCGAGTGGGAAGGATTATTTTGAAAGTGTTTGTCTGCCGTGAATCATCATAATCCATACACAGGTAAGAGTGTACAGTTAAAATGCCAAGATAGCTACATCTGCAAATGTAATTGTCTCAACTGTATCAAAATGTTGTTTTCATTGCTAGCTATTGTTAGCTATATAGCTAGCTAGCTAGCTAGACAGTTGCATACAGGTAACATTATAGCTTGCTTCGTCCCGCAACAAGCCATTGTTTACAGATGGATTATTGTATAATAGATTTCGAGGTAGTTTATTTGCATGTTCAACTAGCTGGCTAGCTAGATGAATAACATTTACATCTAGCCTGCTGGTAATTATGAAGATAAATGTTTGCTGAATCTAGCTAGCTATCTTGTAGTGTCTGCATTGCCATTGTTGGGCTGGAAACAGGTTAAATGTGTACAGGGCATTTTAGTACAGCTGTAGCAGTCAACAGGCTATAACAAGCTATAGGACATTAATTAATTCATGTTTTAACCTATTTCTCTAGAATTTATCTTTCAGCATAAACCTGCTCTCCGCCACCAGTACAAGGAGATGATCGAGAGTGAACAAGCAACACTTCAGGTATTTTTTCTTTGTACTTTGAGCTTGTTGCTTGAACTTGGGGGTCAATTAATGTTATTGCTGGTATGGCATGTTTTAATGTCTTGTTATTGTCTGCTTTCCCCCTTTACAGCTTCAATTGTTTGGAGCCTGGTGTTATTGTGGCCAAGGAGCTTTCATTCAGGTGGAACCAGGTTTCAGCTGCTGTGCAATGTTGCGTCCTTCCTCCCAGAGATGTGAAAGCATCCCCTGGACTGCACACAACCTGGCTAACATATATATTTTTTAGAAGATCATGGCTTTTGCACTGAAAAGGCCATGGATATTACATGGCAGGACAGAAATACAGTGTGCTATCAGGCTAGATTCCTTTGTTCATATCCTAACATGACCTGAACCAACGTTACTCAAAGGACCTTATGATATAGGCCTAGGTCTAGATAGTGTTTTTACCTTTATGTGTTTGTGTGTTAATTTTTTCCTAATTGTAGGCTATTACCTTTAGCAATTGAAGTTAATAAAGTATTTTATTGTTGAAATATTTTCTTTGTTTTTAAGCACTTCCTCACTGCTTTAGCACATTGCCACAGTCACGTATTCCAATGTGAATTCTTTAAGAGATGGGTGGGCCTAAGGCTTTAGAGGGTGTGAATAATGCTAAATGTGCGTAAACGAAAAGCAGCACTGTAGCTGTTCAATGTGAAAGGTTATCTTTATTATAGAAAATGAAATGGAAATGAAAAACTGTTAATGGTTTGCCTAATGGAGTAACTTGGTGAGATAATGTTCAGAGAATCCATTTTAGTAATTTGGTGAAAGTATTCCTTTTCTAAATATATGTTTTCCAATAATTAATGTAAAGCAATTGTGAAAATCACAGCAAAATGTTTGAATGCCCTTTTCTCCTAAATGGGATTATAAATGTATCAACATTTAAATCAGCATTACTTACATTTACATTTTTTTACATTTTAGTCATTTAGCAGACGCTCTTATCCAGAGCGACTTACAGTTAGTGAATACATATATATATTTTTCATACTGGCCCCCCGTGGGAATCGAACCCACAACCCTGGCGTTGCAAATGCCATGCTCTATCAACTGAGCTACATCCCTGCCAGCCATTCCCTCCCCTACCCTGGACGACGCTGGGCCAATTGTGCGCCGCCCATGAGTCTCCCGGTCACGGCCGGCTGCGACAGAGCCTGGATTCAAACCAGGATCACTAGTGGCACAGCTAGCACTGCGATGCAGTGCCTTAGACCACTGCGCCACTGCGCCACCCATGTTTCCTCCAACTACAGTGTATGATATGCCATTTTGAAGCTCTGAGTCAATGTTTTTACTTTTGTAAAAAATAAACATTTCAAATTTTGGAACATAAGACTGAAAAGAGATGGTGGGTCACATGTTTGGTTAATTCATCTCTGGCTGGACAAGTGGAAGGGGTAGCTCAATTATTCATTTGCTCATCACTCACTGATCAGAGACATTTAGCATGCAATAATGTAGCCTGAATCAAGTATATTATTTATCTATTGACTCACGTAGTATAGAGCCTAGGCCATTTTCCTATCGTTCCAATCCCAATGAAACAAAAAATCCTGACTCCTGTCTTGCACGAAAATGCCTAACTTTATTCTGTAATCCATAGATTCAAATAAAATGAATTTGTATTTGCCACATGCGCCGAATACAACAGGTGTAGACATTACAGTGAAATGCTTACTTACAAGCCCATAACCAACAATGCAGTTTAAGAAAAAAATAAAAAGAGCAAATAATTAAAGAGCAGCAATAAAATAACAGTAGGGAGGTTATATACAGGGGGTACCGGTACAGAGTCAATGTGCGGGGGCACCGGTTAGTCGAGGTAATTGAGGTAATATGTACATGTGGGTTGAGTTAAAGTGACTATGCATAAATAATAAACAGAGTAGCAGCAGCGTAAAGAGGGTGTTGGGGTGGGGTGGGGGGGGGGGCAATGCAAATAGTCCGGGTAGCCATAATTAGCTGTTCAGGAGTCTTATGGCTTGGGGGTAGAAGCTGTTAAGAAGCCTTTTGGACCTAGACTTCGCGCTCCGGTACCGCTTGCCATGCGGTAGCAGAGAGAACAGTCTATGACTAGGGTGGCTGGACTCTTTGACAATTTTTAGGGTCTTCCTCTGACACCGCCTGGTATAGAGGTCCTGGACGGCAGGAATCTTGGCCCCAGTGATGTACTGGGCCGTACGCACTACCCTCTGTAGTGCCTTGCGTTCGGAGGCAGAGCAGTTCCCATACCAGGTGGTGATGCAACCAGTCAGGATGCTCTCGATGGTGCAGCTGTATAACATTTTGAGGATCTGAGGACCCATGCCAAATCTCGTCAGTCTCCTGAGGGGGAATAGGCTTTGTCATGCCCTCTTCAGAACTGTCTTGGTGTGTTTGGACCATGATAGTTTGTTGGTGATCTGGACACCAAGGAACTTGAAGCTCTCAACCTGTTCCACTACAGCCCATCGATGAGATTGGGGGCGTGCTCAGTCCTCTTTTTTTCCCTGTAGTCCACAATCATCTCCTTTGTCTTGAGCACATTGAGGGAGAGGTTGTTATCCTGGCACCACACGGCCAGGTCTCTGACTTCCTCCCTATAGGCTGTCTCATCGTTGTCGGTGATCAGGCCTACCACTGTTGTGTCGTCGGCAAACTTAATGATGGTGTTGGAGTCGTGCCTGGCCATGTAGTCATGGGTGAACAGGGAGTACAGGAGGGGACTGAGCACGCACCCCTGAGGGGCCCCCATGTTGAGGATCAGCGAGGCAGATGTGTTGTTACCTACCCTTACCACCTGGGGGCGGCCAGTCAGGAAGTCCAGGATCCAGTTGCAGAGCGAGGTGTTTAGTCCCAGGGTCCTTAGCTTGGTGATGAGCTTTGAGGGCACAATGGTGTTGAACGCTGAGCTGTAGTCAAAGAATAGCATTTTCACGTAGGTGTTCCTCTTGTCCAGGTGGGAAAGGGCAGTGTGGAATGCAATAGAGATTGTATCATCTGTGGATCTGTCGGGGCGGTATGCAAATTGGAGTGGGTCTAGGGTTTCTGGGATAATGGTGTTGATGTGAGCCATGACCAGCCTTTCAAAGCACTTCATGGCTACAGACGTGAGTGCTACGGGTCGGTAGTCATTCAGGCAGGTTATCTTAGTGTTCTTGGGCACAGGGACTCTGGTGGTCTGCTTGAAACATGTTGGTATTGCAGACTCAGTCAGGGACATGTTGAAAATATCAGTGAAGACACTTCCCAGTTGGTCAATACATGCTCGGAATACATGTCCTGGTAAGCCGTCTGGCCCTTCGGCCTTGTGAATGTTGACCTGCTTAAAAGTCTTACTCACATTAGCTACAGAGAGCTTGATCACGTAGTCATCCGGAACAGCTGATGCTCTCATGCATGCTTCAGTGTTGAATGCCTCAAAGCGAGCATAGTAGTGATATAGCTCGTCTGGTAGGCTTGTGTCACTGGGCAGCTCGCGGCTGTGCTTCCCATTGTAGTCTGTAATAGTTTTCAAGGCCTGCCACATCCGACGAGCATCAGAGCCGGTGTAGTACGATTAAATCTTAGTCCTGTATTGACTCTCTGCCTGTTTGATGTCCAGTCGGAGGGTATAGCGGGATTTCTTATAAGTGTCCGGGTTAGAGTCCCGCTCCTTGAAGGCGGCAGCTCTACCCTTTAGCTCAGTGCTGATGTTGCCTGTAATCCATGGCTTCTGGTTGGGGTATGTACGTACGGTCACTGTGAGGATGTCGTCATCGATGCACTTATTGATGAAGCCAGTGACTGATGTGGTGTACTCCTCAATGCTATCGGAAGAATCCCGGAACATATTACAGTCTGTGCTAGCAAAACAGTCCTGTAGCTTAGCATCTGCGTCATCTGACCACTTCCTTATTAACCGAGTCACTGGTGCTTCCTGCTTTAGTTTTTGCTTATAAGCAGGAATCAGGAGGAAAGAGTTATGGTCAGATTTGCCAAATGGAGGGCGAGGAAGAGCTTTGTATGCGTCTCTGTGTGTGGAGTAAAGGTGGTCTAGAGTTTTTTTCCCTCTGGTTGCACGTTTAACATGCTGGTAGAAATGAGGTAGGACGGATTTAAGTTTCCCTGCATTAAAGTCCCCGGCCACTAGGAGCGCTGCCTCTGGATGAGCATTTTCCTGTTTACTTATGGCCTTATACAGCTAATTGAGTCCAATCTTAGTGCCTACATCGGTTTGTGGTGGTGAGTAGACAGCTACGAAAAATATTGATTAAAACTCTCTTGGTAAATAGTGTGGTCTACATCTTATCACAAGATACTCTACCTCAGGCGAGCAAACCTTGAGACTTCCTTAGTATTAGATTTTATGCACCAGCTGTTGTTTACAAATATACACAGACCGCCACCATTTGTCTTACCGGAGTCAGCCGTTCTATCCTGCCGAGTTTAGCATATATCCCGCCAGTTGTATGTTATCCATGTCGTCGTTCAGCCACGACTCGGTGAAACATAAGATATTACAGTTCTTCATGTCCTGTTGGTAGGATAACCGTAGTCTTAGGCGATCAAAGTTACTCTATCATTACCAAATATCAGTTTCACTTGTTGTGAAATCTTGACATAGTGGCGCGGCCAAGCTGGCAATGGGGCTCAGCGATAATCTTATTTTGGGGAACCCTGGCATAGTGACCATACTTTGGTTTTAAACGCTTTAAATGGACACTTCCAAATTTAGCGGTATTTCCCAGGACTCTCGGGATAAATGTGAATTATTCCCGGCATTGAAACTTGTTAGATGTTTGGGAAAATATTAATCCCTACTTATGCATCCCTATTATGTATTAGTCATATACACTAAGTGTACAAAACATTAAGAACACCGGCTCTTTCCATGACATAGACTGACCAGGTGAATCCAGGTGAAAGCAATGATCCCTTTTTGATGTCACTTCTTAAATCAACTTCAATCAATGTAGATGAAGGGGAGGGGACAGGTTAAAGAATGATTTTTAAGCCTTGAGACAACTGAGACATGGATTGTGTATGTGTGCCATTCAGAGGGTGAATAGACAAGACAAAATATTTAAGTACTTTTGAACGGGGTATGGTAGTAAGTGCCAGGCGCACCGGTTTGTGTCAAGAACTGCAACGCTGCTGGGTTTTTCATGCTCCACAGTTTCCCGTAGGTATCAAGAATGGTCCACCACCCGAAGGACATCCAGCCAATTTGACACAACTGTGGGAAGCATTGGCGTCAACATGGGCAAGCATCCCTGTGGAACGCTTTCGGCACCTTGTAAAGTCCATTCCCCGACGAATTGAGATTATTCTGAGGACACTCAGTATATGGTTGTGATGTCACCCTGACTCTGACATACAGTACTGGAGAGGAGCCATAAGCTCAACATGGATCTCTTTTACATTATGGAAATGAAAGGAGTGTGTGTGTGTGTGTGTGTGTGTGTTTGTGTTTGTTAACCATGCCCAGGTTGGCATAGCAGTACAGTGGCAGTGTGATGGGTGTCTCTTGGTGCTGCACACACACACACACACACACATATACACACAAACTCGCACAGACACACATTTTCCCCTGGGCTTGTATGACATCCTCTCTGTCCAATCCCATCCCATCTCCCCGGTCTTGCTCATTAGGGCACGCAATGGAAAATGTTTAAAATATTTAGAAACTGAAAACAAATTTGAAATTCTTATTTGACATGTCCTCCCTAATTCAGACCCTCTTCTTCTGGTTGATGCCTAATAGACAAGACCTCTGCCTCTTCCCCCTTCAGGTGACGTCATAGTCTACATCAATGACATCTGTTGCCTGGGAACAACGCACGCCGACGTGGTCAAACTCTTCCAGTCCGTTCCCATCAGCCAGAGCGTCACCCTGGTCCTCTGCCGGGGATACCCCCTGCCATTTGACCCCGAGGACCCTATCGGTGCGTCGTCCACAGGCGCCTCCCTGACCCCTATGGGCCTGGAACACCGACCCCTGGTGGTGAATGGGCGTAGTAGCTACGACCCTTACCTGGAGTACCTCTCCCTGAGCTCCCAGCTCCCTCCCCAGGCTCTAGCCCAGCCCGGGGCACACCACCTTGATGGGTCCTCGCTACCTCCCACCACCCCCCGGTCCGCACCGGCCATGACGCCGCACGACGACAATGTCTCCATGGCGTCGTCGGGGGCGACGGGGATCGCCGGGGGCGTGATCCAAGGGGCAGAGCTGCTGACGGTAACCATGGTGAAGGGGGCAGAGGGGTTCGGATTCACCATCGCCGACAGCTCCACGGGGCAGTGTGTCAAACAGGTGGGGTGTTACTCTCGTGGGGTGTTACTCTCGTTACTCTCAGTATGTTGTAAATTTAGCATTGTGTATTCTATTGATCTCTCTGTCTGCCCGTCTGTCCGTCTGTCTGTCCTTTCGTCAGTCCATCAGTCTGCCTGTCTGTCTGTCATCACCCGTACTTTTCCATCCTCATACCTGACTATGGTCTTTGTTGTACAGGTGTTGGAGCCGGGTGTGCTGGGCAGAGTGGGTCTGAGTGAAGGAGACCTGATCCTGGAGGTGAACCAGCAGGGTGTGGTGGGGGCAGGACATGGCCGTGTGGTGGAGCTGCTCAAAGAGTGTTCTGTCGGGGCCGAGGCCACGCTACTCATACAGAGAGGAGGAGGGGCAGGTAAGTCTCTTTGTCTCTGGAATAGCTTTTCTCTGACTGTCTACATTACCCTTTTCACCAGGGGCGCAACTTTGGTTTTAGAAGTGGGGGGGACATATATATGTATTTTTTTAATCCAGTCAGATAAACACTTCAAGCAGCCTACCCGACCACTCAGAGGCGTCTGCATGGTCCTAAAGCGCACCGTTGCCTCGTTTTGTATCACATTCCAATGATAAAACTGGGAGGGGACAAAAATGCAATTTCAGAATGTGGGGGGGACATGTGAAAGTTGCTCCCCTGCATTTTCACACTACTGAGCTCAGCTGAGCCAAGCCGAGCTGTACTAGGCTGGCTGGTTATGCATCCACCATAGTTTGTGGACCCGTGATTGACAGGACAATGTGAGAAGAAAATATTGGAGCCAGCATAATATATAGTTCGGAATGGCACGTAAGTGTGAAAATTGTATCTATCTCGCTCCTTATCAGTCTCTCTCTCTCTCTATCTGTCTCTCTCTTTATCTTTTCACTAAATGAGAAGAAAAGGCTCGTGGTGCTGAAAGGACAGTGACCGTAATACCTGTGCACTCCATGGCGCTGAAGGAGACTCAGTTTTGGTCAAACACATAGACAAGGCTGATAGACAGGCAACAGCAGTCACACCCAGCATCAAATAATGTTAAAGAATAAGCAGCCCATTCACTCCAGTAGGCCTCATGAAATCATGACAATACAAAAGCACAACCATTTCATTTCCAAAAAATTTACAAACCAGCTATTTTATTATGTTCATCACACAAAGCAGTGATATAAATGTTAAATGCAACAATGTTTAAAAAATAAATAAACGGTCCCACCCATTGCAAGTCAAAACATGATTGGTTCATTCCACTGTCACTCCAAAATTCTGCTCTAATACAGTTTAATGGCACCCGCTTCTGAAGGCCTAACCAATGGCTGGCTGAGATAGCTAGAATTTTCTACACAGAGACCATAAAAGAAAAATCCTGATTGGATTTTTTTCTCTCTTCAGTATTAACCCTTCTCTTTACAACACTAACTGAAGAGATGAAATCAGAAGATCATTAAAATTATTATAAAGATTAAATAGAAACTACATTAAATGTTTGTATGAATAATGTTTTATGAATCCGTATGCCTTCTCTGAAACTGTTCCTATAGAAGAAGCCTATTTTTGTATTTGTATTTATTAAGGATCCCCTTTAGCTGCTGCAGAGGCAGCGACAACTCTTCCTGGGGCCCAGCAACATTAAGGCAGTAAAAATATTACATGACATTACATTTCATAACACTTTACCCAATACATTTAGTTTGTTCCCTCAGGCCACTCTCACTTACAGTGAAATAGGAAAGTATTCAGACCCCTTCACTTTTTCCACATTTTGTTTACAGCCTCATTGCATTTATTATTTCAGCCTTATTCTGAAGTTGATTAAATTGTCCCCCCCCCCATCAATCTAAACACAATACCCCATAATGACAAAGCAAAAACAGGTTTTTAGACATTTTTGCAAATTACAAAAAAATACAAAACTGAAATATGACATTTAAGTATTCAGACCCTTTACTCAGTGCTTTGTTGAAGCACCTTTGGCAGCGATTACAGCCTTGAGTCTTCTTGGGTATGACGCTACAAGCTTGGCACACCTGTATTTGGGGAGTTTCTCCCATTCTTCTCTGCAGATCCTCTCGAGCTCTGTCAGGTTGGATGGAGAGCGTTGCTGCACAGCTATTTTCAAGTCTCTCCAGAGATGTTCAGTTGGGTTCAAGTCCGGGCTCTGGCTGGGCCACTCAAGGACATTCAGAGACTTGTCCCGAAGACACTCCTGCGTTGACTTGGCTGTGTGCTTATGGTCGTTGTCCTGTTGGAAGATGAATCTTTGTCCTTAGTCTGAGGTCCTGAGTGCTCTGGAGCAGGTTTTCATCAAGGATCTATCTGTAGTTTGCTCCATTCATCTTTCCCTGTATCCTGACTAGTCTCCCAGTCCCTGCCGCTGAAAAACATCCCCACAGAATTATGCTGCCACCCCCATGCTTCACCGTAGGGGTGGTGCCAGGTTTCCTCCAGACGTGAAGTTTGGCATTCAGGCCAAAGAGTTCAATCTTGGTTCTCAAGGTCTTGGTTCTTAGGTGCCTTTTGGAAAATTCCAAGCGGGCTGTCATGTGCCTTTTACTGAGGAATGGCTTCTGTCTGGCCACTCTACCATAAAGGCCTGATTGGTGGAGTGCTACAGAGATGGTTGTCCTTCTGGAAGGTTCTCCCATCTCCACAGAGGAACTCTTGAGGTCTGTCAGAGTGACCATTGGGTTCTTGGTCACCTCCCTGACCAAGGCCCTTCTCCCCCGATTGCTCCGTTTGGCCGGGCGGCCAGCTCTAGGAAGAGTCTTGGTGGATCCAAACCTCTTCCATTTAAGAATGATGGAGGCCAATGTGTTCTTGGGGACCTTCAATGCTGCAGAAATGTTTTGGTACCCTTCTCAGATCTGTACCTCGACACAATCCTGTCTCAGAGCTCTACGGACAATTCCTTCGACCTCATGGCTTGGTTTTTGCTCTGACATGCACTGTCAACTGTGGGACCTTATATAGACAGGTGTGTCCCTTTCCAAAGCATGTCCAATCAATTGAATTTACCACAGGTGGACTACAATCAAGTTGTAGAAACATCTCAAGGATGATCAATGGAAATAGGATTCACCTGAGCTCAATTTCGAGTCTCATAGCAAAGGGTCTGAATACTTATGTAAAGAATGTGTTTCAGTTTTTTATTTTTAATAAATTAGCAAACATTTCTTGAAAACCTGTTTTTTCGCTTTGTCATTATGGGGTATTGTGTGTAGATTGATGAGTTTTTTTTTTAATATACATTTTAGAATAAGGGTGTAACGTAAGAAAATGTGGGAAAAGTCAAGGGGTCTGAGTACTTTCCGAATGCACTGTTTTTACAATACAACATCCATGTGTACGTGTGTCTGTGCCTGTGTGTGTGTCTCTTCACAGTCCCCACTGTTCCATAAGGTGTATTTTTTTTTCAGTTTTTTCAATCTGATTCTGCTGCTTGCATCAGTTACCTGATGTGGAATAGAGTTCCATGTAGCTATGGCTCTATGTACAGTGGGGGAAAAAAGTATTTAGTCAGCCACCAATTGTGCAAGTTCTCCCACTTAAAAAGATGAGAGAGGCCTGTAATTTTCATCATAGGTACACGTCAACTATGACAGACAAAATGAGAAAAAAAAATCCAGAAAATCACATTGTAGGATTTGTTATGAATTTATTTGCAAATTATGGTGGAAAATAAGTATTTGGTCAATTACAAAAGTTTCTTAATACTTTGTTTTATACCCTTTGTTGGCAATGACACAGGTCAAATGTTTTCTGTAAGTCTTCACAAGGTTTTCACACACTGTTGCTGGTATTTTGGCCCATTCCTCCATGCAGATCTCCTCTAGAGCAGTGATGTTTTGGGGCTGTCGCTGGGCAACACACTTTCAACTCCCTCCAAAGATTTTCTATGGGGTTGAGATCTGGAGACTGGCTAGGCCACTCCAGGACCTTGAAATGCTTCTTACGAAGCCACTCCTTCGTTGCCCGAGCGGTGTGTTTGGGATCATTGTCATGCTGAAAGACCCAGCGACGTTTCATCTTCAATGCCCTTGCTGATGGAAGGAGGTTTTCACTCAAAATCTCACGATACATGGCCCCATTCATTCTTTCCTATACACGGATCAGTCATCCTGGTCCCTTTGCAGAAAAACAGCCCCAAAGCATGATGTTTCCACCCCCATGCTTCACAGTAGGTATGGTGTTCTTTGGATGCAACTCAGCATTCTTTGTCCTCCAAACACGACGAGTTGAGTTTTTACCAAAAAGTTATATTTTGGTTTCATCTGACCATATGACATTCTTTCAATCCTCTTCTGGATCTTTCTCTCTTCCTTTTGCTTCCCTCCAGTCCTGAGAGCACACACTTTCTAGCAGGTTTAGATTGAAGAAATGGCAAATAGGACTGGCAATATCGTCCGCTATTATCCTCAATAATTTTCCCTCCACGTTGTCAGACCCCGGTGGCTTGTCATTGTTAATAGACAACAATACGTTTTTCACCTCTTCCACACTCACTTTACAGAATTCAAAATTACAATGCTTGTCTTTCATAATTTGGTCAGATACAGTGGGGGAAAAAAGTATTGTTGATAGACAATAATAATTTCACTTCTTCCACACCAGTGGCGGCTCCTGAAAAAATTCTCAGGAGGGGCAATTTTTCTGATGATTTAGGTGACCTACACACATTTAAAAAAAGATATGTCCAGCAACCACATGAAGACAGGGGCAGCATATAAGTCAATACCAGAAGCATTTATTGACTGATCTCAAAAGTGTTGGCTTACCAGGGTTGGTGGAGCCCTCAGTTTCATCTTTGCCTCGCAAAGCTAACTCAAACACGCAAAACTTCACACACTGGATTAGCCGGCTGAGGATGTGGCGGTTCTTGCTAATGTCGTAGTAAATATATTTGTTATAGTGAATATGGAATATGATATGTTGAGTAAAATGTTGTGCTAAGATCTATTTAGGTCAGGAGCTGGTTATAAGTTCTGTTCCTATCCAATAACAATGGACAAAAGGGTCCTATCTTGTCAGCCTTGTCAGCAGGTGGCCAAGGACAACACCCACGCCATAGGCCTCTCAGTTCTTCCAACTCACGAGTTCTTGCTCTGAGGACACACACACACACAAACACACACACACACACATCATCACTGTTAAACACACACACACATCATCACTGTTAAACACACACACACACACACAAAAATCCCCTCTCTTAGGCTGAACATTTGAAGACAGAGAACCCGACTCAGAGCCAATGCAACAGTGACAGTAGCCTGCAGGGGACCTCGCCCAACTCATCAGGACCAATCAGAAGATCAGAACTACTAGATTGAACCTACTTCATTTATTGCATAAAATGTCTGCACACAATGTTTCG